GAAAACAAGCCATGGTGGAAGACAGAAAAACTAATGTTCACTTGTCTTATCTAACACAGTCTATGTCCCCTCATGCGCCTCTTTTTCACCTTTGCTCTACTTAAGACCCCCCCCCCACACACACACACACACACACACACACACACATGCCAGTGATTGTGTATTAGTGTGTTGGTGTTGGGTGAACTTGTGTCTGAGGAAGTGACTGCTCATAAGAGCCAGCTGATGAGTATCACCCTCATCCGGAGCACCATTCAGCCCTCGGCACAAGGGTTCATTCACCCTGTTGCATTTCCACCCTCATGGAACCCCCCACCCCGGCACCTCCCGCCCAAAGGACATTTTCCTGCACTCATACACTTACAGAGGTGAGCTGTCACTCATTCAGACATCCTACACAAAATGCTAAAATGCATAGACTCCTCCGCACATGCATGCTAAATAGAAAGCCAAGAATAGACTCTCTACTCCTTTTTTTTTTGCATCTGACTCATTATAAGCAAAGCCCAAAGCTCTTCCTCCCCCCCACCCACCCCCATCCCCACAAACACATTTATATAGCCTCCATGTCCAAATACTCTTTTAGAACAAGTGACACGCAGCAGGACAAGGTGTCAATTCCATTTTAGTCATCTCCCTCTGCTTTATGAATACTTCTGACATGCACATACCAAAACCCACAATCATAGCCGTGGACGGCAGTGATGTGTCTGACATCAGGAGGGGGGGGGGGGGGGGGGAGATGTCAAATCTGAGCAACACAGATCGACTGGATAGACAGGACAGGAAGGAATTTCAGCAGATTTATTTATTTATTTTGTATAGCTGCAAGCAACTGAGCCACTAAAACAAAAAATAGTGATAGTTCAAATCAGTGGAATGGAATTTCTGTGAAAAACTTTATGAATATTTTACATCTTACCTGTTGAAGATAGCTTTTTTTACAACCTCAGTTTGGATAAATAGAAGTTAATTCTGACTGGATAGACAAGCTAATTGATAAACTGAGTGGCGTTAAGATCAGAAGAATTGTGGCAGTCTTTAGTATCAAGAAAACCACAAATGCCGTGAGCCAAGTTTGATAAATGTTTACACTGCCACCATTTCCTTACAAGGTTACTTACATGAGCTTTTATTTCATGCACATTTAAATAGTGGCAGCAGCAGCCAGCTGTGTAATTTCCTGTGTAGCCGTGCACATCCAGAAGGATTTTCTGAATGTTTCTGCCAGAATTATAGTGTCAAGTAAAACTGACAGTATTGTAAATGTTTGTAAAATTGTGTTTGCATGAACCACTACAATATTTTGTAGGAGTTTCAGCTTTTCACTTGCAGCTCTCCTACACCAGAGGGCGCCAACAGATGCACACCTGAGGACCATTTTAACATTCTTAGAATGGGGCGGAGATGGGGTAGAGGTAGGGCAACCGACCTGGGACCCTAAAGTCCCAGCTTAGATCCCCAATCATTCCCACATGTCATGGTGTCTCTGAGCAGGACACCCAATCTCCAATTGTTCCCCGGGTGCCTACATAGCCACCCACTGTCACACCTGCGTATTCCAGGTGCAAAGGGTTAAATGCAGAAAACTAACTTCATCATTTTATGGGAACATATAATGACAACACATAGCACTTATCATATTCACTTGAGCTGCAGGAGTACTTAAGGCAGCTGATGACTGCTGTCCGACGCTGGTACATCATCTGCCAATCGGTAGTTGTGTTCCTGGCCTTTTTACTCCAAGTGTATAGTGAAGTCTACAGTAATCTGTCATACTCAGTGTTATGGCTTAAAAAAACAACTCAATTTGCACCCATCCTTTATCTATCTCTGTCTATTATTGCATTTGTTGTCTACTGTTGTCATCATTCTTTGATCGAATCAGGTCTCTCTTGTAAATGAGTCCCCGAGGCTCAGTGGGATTAACCTGCAAAAATAAAGGTTGAATGAATAGCTTGACTCCTGTGATCCTCCTGAGCCTCACTTCCTGGTTGTCTCCTTGTGATCTTTCCATCCATTCCTTGTCTTCCACCACTTCCCCATTGTTTGTATGAAACCTCTTCCTCACTCCTCGCCATTGGAACCTTTTGGGATTTGGCTTCTGTGGCAACTCTGCCTACTTACAGTAAGGACAAAGCTGAACATCAAAACCAGTCTTCAAGACGAAGCCTCCAACTAACGTTGTCCCTTACTCTGCAGGGTTCCAGTCCCGCCCTGCTGATCCGCCATACTGGATTTTGACTTTGTAAATAAACACTGTTAAACTTTCTCCCGGCCCTGAAGTCATCATTCTTGGTTGTATCTGGGTATATAATAATAATAATAATAATAATAATGAGAGCCAAATCTTACAGAATTTTAAAATTCACCTACATCTCAGTTAACAGAAAAACTTGACATGTATTTATTCAAACTAAACTCCATTCTAGATCATCCATAATTAGACCCTAACCCTGTTTATCATTTTTCAACTGGACCCCACTTCAAATGATCTGAACTTGTTTTTAAGTTCCTTTAAAATTGAATAATCCCAAACACCTTGTGTCAGAACATTTCTGGTCGACAGATTAGGATGTTTGTGCTGTAACGGCTGTTATTTAATATATTTCTGACTCATTTTTTAAATTTATTTTAAGAACAAATTTCTACCAGTAGAAGAAAAGAGAGCTTTAACAGTCTGTCATGCTGCTCTCACTCCTGAGGCTGAACGCTGTGACAAAGACATAAAAGCAGCCCACCTTTACCTACTCTGACTCTCTGCTGCTTCCGGTTAAATGCTTAATCCAGAGGGGAAATCCACCAGCATCCTGCTCCGTGCAGGGTCACACAGCACAGTTCTCTGCTGAGCAGAGGATCTTCTCATTAATGAGTGCATTTCATTACAGTCCCGCCTGCCTCTGGTCTAAATGGCTCTGGGATTGGGTGGCTGCCACAGATTGTACATGTTCAAACACATATTTAGGCAGAATGTAGTTCATTAAGCATGTGGTCTCAAGGAAATGTATCCCAGACAGGAGAACATTTCAGTGCATGCCTTCAAATCTGTAAGAAAAATGCTGCATATGTTTTGCTTTCTTTCAAACACTTCACAAAGCTCAACACTGACTCTTACAAAAATTGTTAAAATTACATCACCTGAAAAATAAAAAAGTGTGAAAACATCATTCTGTTTGTACTGTTTGTCTTTACACAACCGCATCAAAATTTTTCCACTTTCCTGCAATCACAAAATACATCTTTGTGTCTGGAAATGGATTGAAGACCTTAAAAAAGTAAAATAAAATTTTAATTCCAGAGAGGTTTCAAAGTGGAAATGTGGTCTTGGAGCATAGTAATGGAATGTCTGTCAGCGAGGTAATGTCTAAGACACGCACACATAGAGACACACACACATCGGAGTAGAGCGGCAGACACACTCAGTTGTCAGAAGGTATCTCCTGGAAGTGTGTGACTTCACAAAAGTGAGAGCATGCCGAGGAGAGACGGAATGAGGAAAGAAAAATTGAGGACGGAAAAACCTCAAGGGCGACAAAATGTCTTGTCTGAACACAAAAGGAGGGATAAATGCAGGTTAGCAGGGAAGAAGCTACGAATGACATGTTCTTTTGCAAAACTCTGACATGGTGCTATTGTTTGGATATAATGGCACACATTCCCACCCACAGATCAACACAGCTCGAAACAAGAATTCACGATTGTGACCATTTTTTATCGCCTGCTGCCATGAAATATGGGCGATCATGTAAAGGCCTTTATCTGCGTGTGCATTTGTCTGTCTGTTAGCAAAATATCTTAAGATCCAGTGGAGTTATTTTATCAAAACTCAGAAATTAATAATTGGATGCGCATCTCTGTTATCTTAGTTCAAGTTCAAGATTTTTTATTATCCCCAAGGAACGATTTGTTTCACAGTCACTAGTCACATACAAATACTACAGAAGACATTAAGACATTAAAATAACAATATATGAAATCATCATTGTTCATTGAGGAGCCTGATCGCTACAGGGATGAATGAGTGTTTCACTCTGTTCGTTCTACATCTGAGCAGATGATATCTGCATCCAGATGGAAGCAAACAACTCACCATGGAGTGGATGATCAGGATCTGCCAGAATCTTATCTTATGCAATCATCTTGATTCAACATGGCTGCCATAGCCAATCCACTTAAACAAACACACAAATGAATATCGCTGTCGGTTTTACAAATATTGAGCTGACTTTTCTTATGGTGGTAGCTGAGACTCAACCCAAACAAATATTCTGAGTGCCTAGGGATCGCTGGAAATCTTGCAATTTTTTATGTCACTGTGTCTGTTGCTTTCAAGAGTTTACCTAAATCAGCAAAACTGCTATCTTTCAACATGAAAAAATATATATCTTTGATTCAAATTTTGAAACATTTGGTTGTGGGCGAAATGTTTTTTTTTTTCAAAATAATGCCAAGCCATGAATAAGATCAAGGCAAACTGGATTTGTTTGCACTCAGACTGGACATTTTCAAAAGATCAGATGTGAGATGCAAGAAATTATTTTGAGTGAATTTAATCTGCAAGAAAAATGAAAAAAATCACTTTATTAGCCAATAAAGTGAAACTATTTGAAATCCTGGCTGTCTTATTTTATTCTGATGGTGTCAGAGCCCTGATCCGCTGCTCAGCCTCTTTGTTTTCTACCCCCACCATAATAATAATAATAACCTGGGGGAGGACTGGGATCCGTTTTAAAACCCACGTGTAAAAGCTGATGTTATAAGACAGCATAATGCTGGGGGGGGGGGGGGGGGTGTGCTTCTAACCCCCTTCTGGCTTGATGAGCGCAAATCACGCAGCGGTCACGCACGAGTCCCACGCAACAGTTAATGAGATAGCACTTGCAAGCATATGCGCGGTCAGTGCGTAAAAGTGGCGTATTTTTTTTTGTTTGTTTGTTTATTTGTTTGTTTGTTTGCTTTGATGATTGGATGAGAGCGCGGAACAATCAGCAGAGACTTACAGGCATATGTCATGGAGAAGCTGTTGCCCATTTTCACCATATCCACCTGCGGCACCAGTTTGGGGATGTCCTGGTGGTGCGACAGCGCGAAGCGGAACACCTCATATTCGTGCGAATCCGTGGGGAACAATCCTCCTGTTGAGCAAATAAAATAAAAAAAAGGGGGGGGTCAAGAGTTCATGTCAGACTCCGGACATAATAAAACCCCCACGCAAAACAGGAGTTTAAACGAGATAAAGTTGAAAAAGAGGAGTTTGCTCCCTCCTTGGAGAAATAACGGTTCGCTGCGTGCGCGCATCTCTCACCTATATTGATGTTACTTGGGAAACTTGAGCCCGAAGCCAAGCATATCCCCAGCAAACTGGTGTAGAGGATGGTGAAGCTTCGCTGCATATTTCCTGTTGCATTGGCGAAAGGGTAAAGAGCCGAAATCCACGCATAGGGCTTGTCCGTGTGTGTGAAGTGAAATCCCAGCACCTGCTGAAGCTCCAGCCTCCGGTTTAGAGCAGCCGTCGGACCCGCATCGATTCAACTGCGAGACAATTATCGCAATGGCGAAAGGAGGAGCGAAACCTGTCCTCCCTCCTCCGCTCCCTCTCTCTGCTGATGCTCTCTGCTGTCCTTGGTTGCAGCTGAACCAGACGAATGACTTCAGCAACAAGCGCACTGCAAAAAATACCGGCGGAGAAAAAAAAAAAAAAAAAAGGGAAAGAAAAGCAACAACAAAACTGTTGAGTCTTAAAGGGATAGTCTGGAGATTTTTCAAGTGCGTTGAGTATGGACAGAAAGGCTAAAGTTGCATTTATATCCTGCCAGAAGCAAAGAAATCTGCTCTTACAAACGTAGTTGCAAGACGTTCTTTTTCACATGAACATTTCATACCCTGCTGTAGCACATGGAGGCGTGGGTTGGAATCCCACTTCTGACACCATGTATTTTGTATTTGTCTTAATAAAGACAATTGGCACTGTTTCATGAGTTCAGGTCTGTTTATTGCAGGCTCGTAACATGTACAATGAATATACGTCACATCTGTTTATGCTTTGGCAAGCCCATGAGGACAATAATCATGACGATTTACAATTCAATATTGTACATACAACAGAACTCAAGGGCTCCAGTATGGATTTTGCTTCACTGGATCTTCAGTTTCGCTTCCCTGTACAGATTGTTGCTTTCCTTACTTTAATTATACAGACGTTTAGTATTTGCTATATTTGGCACAAAAAAGACCGGTAATGTTTTTGACAAACGTTGCGTGATGACTTGTGAACATGGGGAATGTCCTTTTGCTGCCCAGCCAAGACGTACTCCCTTCAGCGCAACAACAAAAAGACACTTGTATCTAAAATTCTCCACTGTGCACATTGATAGTTCGCTCCAGTTCATTTTTTAGGTCAGAATCAGAATAAGCTGTATTATCATTGTACCAGAATACAGTGAAATTATGTTCGTACAGTCGTCCGAAAGATGGGCGGAGTGCACGTTGTTGCTGCTGAGAAGCATGGACCCTATTCTAAATCTGGGTTAATCTGAATATTCCACTAAAGTGACCTGGTTCATTTGACCTGTTGAGTTGTTGATCCTGTCTTACTTTATATGTAAAGTATATGAGGTGGTGTATATGCAACATTCATTACATTTACATACCACCCTGACTGTAGACCAGAATGTGTTCAGCCAACTGTGTCTTTGCACAGTTTATTTGCTTAAATGTGAAAAGGAGGACATCTTTTTCCCTGGGAGGAATCAGGACTAGAGGAAGGTGATTAAAATGGGATGGACATTTGTGTTGTATGCATAGCATTGTTATTGTTCAAGTGGAGAAAACTGCAATAAAACAAACAAACTGTGCTGTGAAAACAGTGCAAAGATGTATTATTAATTAAAACTGTGTTCATTCAGACCAGTATGACTCTTGAGCAAAAGTTGTTAAAACAAGGTTTAGGTGGCCTCGCCTGAAGGAAGACTTCAGGCTTTTATACTCTGTATTCTGGGATTGATGGAAAATATGTACTCGCTCTACCTAAAGCATGCAAAGTAACTTTTTTTTGTTACTTATTTTAACAGAGAGAGAGAAAAAACATAGCTTATGAGAAAATGCATGGATAAAAGTCAGCAAAGGCTGAATAATATGAAAACAGTCATGAACTAAATGTTGACAGAAAGATGCTTCACACAGGAAACAAAAGAACAGTATCTCCTCCCGTTAAAGGATTGCACTGCTGGAAAAGGAAAATGAACATTTTCTCACTCATTACTTCTCTAATGACCTGCGGGATGAATACTTTTTGCAGCGGGCACCCTTGGAGCGCACACAAGGTCCCTCATGAGGAGCATCGCTTTTCATAGTAGCTTTATACAGTATGCTCAATTTTATATTTAAAAAAACATATATTACACATATTGTATAATGCAAATATCTGAACTTCTGCATTGACTTACAAATGTCTTTATGATCATGAAATGTACCTGATTTGACTGAATGTTTAGCTTCATGGACCCTTTGAAGAGAGCTTTGGATCCACTTTAAAAAGCAGCAATTCCTCAATTAACTCTCAATTTGTGCAGAAAACAGAAATTTTACTGAGTTGATCATTTTTGAAAAGAAACAGCATCTACACATTTTAGTTTCAAACACAGAGCTTCGTTATATTCTTCAAAATAATAAAAATCAACGTGAACATGTGGACATTCGGCATTATAAACATTTTATAGGTTTTAATCAGAGCAACACCTGAACTTTAAAATTTTATGGGAGTTCTGGTCGTAAAACACAAATTAAATGAGCTAATAAAATCTTCTCATTCAGTTTGATCTTATGGCTTTTTAAAATTTGATAGGAACCTTCTTTCCTTTTGTTTTATCCTGTGTGGTGTGTAGTTCTCTCATGTCATTAAGATATAAATAGCTTATTTTTCCCAGATATAACATACAGTGCTTTTTATGCTCACGAGTCGCTCACCTACAGTGAGAATTTGTCTGAACGTGTACGGTTTTGGACTGAAGGAAGAGAACGCAGCACTCGGTGAAAAGACAAATGTAACTGATGCAAACTACTGTGTATCAAAAAGCCACAACACAATCAGCTATTAAAAACCAGGAGACTTTTCATTGTCAAGCAGCAGTGCTGAAAAATAACAAATAAGAGCTAAAGCAGCTGTTCGCTCTAATTTTCTTGGTTTTTTTTTTTTCATCTCTTCTTGATTCCCGTTTCATTTTAAGAGCATGGTTAGAGGACGTAAATGGAAATGAGTCATTATTTTCTTATTTAAAAATGCAGAATTACAAAGTTATAACAGAAACTGATGATGAGTACACACAGTAATGTCTCCAGTTGTTCATAGATACATTATATTTACAGTTTTATTTATTTGTTTTAATATCAAATTGAAATTGCCAGAACTTATTCTGCAAACTGGCTTGTTTTAGTAAAAAAAAAAAAAAAAGTACAATTCTGAATACAAAAGAGACCTTCTTGCTTCGTGTCCTCTCTCTCTCTGCCCACTCATGTAGTGCAGGACTGGCAAGCGGCTGATAAGAGGGGTTATAATTTAAACCATGTATTCACTGACAGCTACTGCCGATTGTTCTCCCGCAAAGAGCTACGCAGTCCCGTGTTCTGTAGGCTGCAGAATTAACCAACATTGTTGATATTCTCGTGAGACTGATGGATAACCCCACAGTGCTGTGACGCTCCGGTGCATGTTTGGAAAATGAAGAGGTAAATCTTGCCTCTGGCACAGTTTGGTTTTGGAATGAGTGCATCTATCACACCGAGCAAGAGTACTTTGTTAAATTAAAATCAGTTTCCCCACTCATTGTTTTCATAACACGAGCGGGCAGCAACACATTTCTCCCGGAAAATGAAATTTAGAAGATTAGAAGCTTATTTGGAATTAGATTTTGAGTGTTTCAAAGTGAAAAGGAACATCATGGCTCTGACTGATTATCTCTGGAGCGCTTGAGAAATAGAAATCCAGGAAGTAAAAGGTTATCTAATAAATGAGTGATGGATGTCCTATAGATACAGACAGAATTGTCAATTTTCTTTGCTTTTGTTCAAAATGATAAAGGGTTACGTCTATTCGTTTTTCCCCTTTTATATCCATTGCGCCTTTGTTCTCTGTACTCAAAAATGTATTTGATTTATGCATATTTCCCATCAGGTTAGATATAGTTTCAGTGTTTCTGAGTGCCTGCAGGACCTGACATTTAATGAGTGTCATTCCTTTTTTTTTTTTTTTTTTTTTTTTTTTTCTCAATGCTGATTAAAGCAAACAGTTTGGCATAGTTAAATATTCTCTGGTGCAACACACAAAATGACAATCATATAAACAAATATTTATATTTGTAAGGCTTAAAACATACAAACCTGACCATCTGACATACTAAGAAAGAAGTTAATTCAGTTTTTGTTCTCAAAGATGTCTGCATCACTGGTCACCACATAGTCTG